CCAATTCTATGATCCTATTTGGATCGTTTACACGCAATAACTAGCGAGATTTAGCGATCCTTCGAATACGAATTGGAAAGTGAATTCTCAAGGCCCCCACTCTTCATATCATCACAGCGCAGCGCGAGGTTATCATTTCATATCTTCTTATTTTATTAAGCCATCTTGTGCCCTGTTGTCGCTGTCCCCTTTATGGCGGTCAAGCGAGAGAGAGAGAAAGAGCGAGAGACAGATACGCCCTAATTACCCATCGCATGCATCGCTTGCCGCCCGTCGTGATGGTGTGGCGGGCGATGATGAACACCAGCAATAAACCGGGGTTCGTTCGATTCAAGTGGAATGCTGGCCACATTTTATCAGATTATACGATAATTGCTACCCTTTGGCCCCCTCGGTTGCAAATATCCTACTTTCGATTTTATACATTTCATTATTCATTACTGCCTGTCATGGCGGCCGTGTCAACCGAGAGTACAAGTGAACCTCATTGATCCAATTACCTTTCACATTTTGCGCATTTCGGAGGACCGTATGGTGGAAAAATACTACGAAAATTGAGCTTCTCATGTAGATACACTTGACACTGGGGTTCAGTTAATAGTTTTTATTAAATCATGGTGGTTTGACCTTATCTGTGAAACTGAAGTTGCCGATTCTGGTTGAATAGAATAAATCAATGAAAGGTTCATTGCCTGCAGTTCGGTTGGTCGGAGAAGCAAATAGAATAAGATGATGCCTGGATTTAAGGTCAAGGTTGAAAATGGAAGTGCGAGACCGATCTTGGGCGACTTTTGCCAATTCCATCAAGACGCTGGATGGTAATGTTGCTGAGATGGAAGCAGCCCACCGAATTTCGGAGGAGAAAGCGCTTTTCATTAAGTTCAAGTCGGAAGAATCTGTGCTTTATGCCGGAAGGACAAGCAAGAAGAGAGACGGACCTGAGCTGCTGTGGACGCTGCGGGACTCAAGTTTCTTTCAAGCCACCCAATTAGAGGCGCTGATGGTGTAGTGGTAACCGTGATTGCCTCTCACCCCAAAAGGCCTAGTTGGCTCCGCCGGGATTTTCTGAGGTATAACATCTATGATCATGCCTTCCGTTGCCGGTGGTCCCCGGTCCATGAGTTCATGGGTCGATAGGTAGGGTCCAGGTGTGGGAGTTGCCTTTCTGGCGTCGGTAGCATTGGTACTCAGTACGGGAAACATGATCGATGGAAAACAAATCTAGAGGAAAAAAAGTACTTTCGAAAACATCAACAGAGTTCTGGGATCTTCAGGGAAGTCCAGAGCACTTCGAAGGAGTTTTAGAATTTGTTGGCAATTTCATTATTTTTAGGGATATTCCGATTACTCGAAGGATGGTCAGATAACTTCAGAGCAGTTCCATTGATTAATTGCAGGAGCTTTCAAGAAGTTACGAGAATTTATGGAAAATTCCAAACATTTCTGGAATGTTAAAAAAAAAATCAGTAATATTAAGGGTAATTTCATTAATTTTTCAAGATAATACTATGGGTTTTCATAACGTTTTAAAATGCCATTTCAGAGTTATTCGTGATTTTTCGCGATTTTGGCGTTGAAAAGTCTAATTATTTTGGATACTTCTCATTCGTTTTAATGACTCTATCAGTTTTTTTTTTCAAATCTTTTTCGCACATTCAATGCCATTTTTGGATCGATTTGGCTTCTGGATTTCAGGCAATCATGCTGAGTTTTTACAGTCATTTTGGCCTTGCGACATCTGTCTTCAATATTGGTCGGTCACGAGCTTCTAAAATTGCTCATAGTGGGTCGCAAACCAGGAAAGATTGGAACCCGCTGGCTTAATGTCTTCGGGCTTGAACGATCGTCTGTTGCAATGGTTTGTTGTGATGTAAGGGGCTCGGTGGCCTTGTGGCAAACGTTTTTGCTGATTGAGGATAATATCGTGGGTTCAATCCCTTACTTACCTTACCAATCAGGCTACGGCCTTGTTGTCCTCTGCTGTCCGAAAAAAATCGTCTCCACTCTACTCGATCCATGGCCACACTTCGCCAGCCTCCTAATCTGCGAAGGGTCCGCAGGTCGCCTTCTACTTGGTCGATCCACCTTGCCCGCTGCGCGCCTCTTCTTCTTGTTCCTGTTGGGTCGCTTTCTAGAACCATTTTCACTGGGTCGTCGTGCGGCATTCTTATGACGTGCCCAGCCCACCGTAGCCGCCCAATTTTTGCAATGTGGACGATGGATGGTTTTCCCAGCAGCTGGTGCAATTCCTGGTTCATTCGCCTCCTCCACGTTCCATCATCCATCTGCACTCCACCGTATATGGTACACAACACCTTACGTTCTAAGGACCAAGGGCGCGTTGGTCCTCCACGAGCATAGTCTAGGTCTCGTGGCCGTAGAGGACCACCGGTCTAATCAGCGTCTTGTAGACAGTCAACTTCGTGCGGCGGCGAATTTTATTCGACCGGAGCGTCCTCCGGAGTCCAAAGTAGGCATGATTCCCTGCCATAATGCGTCTTTGATTTTCTCTGCTGGTATCATTTTTGGCGGTCACCAGTGAGCCCAAAAACACGAACTCATCGACCACTTCGATTCCGTCACCGTCAATCTGAACTCAGGGTGGGAGGCTAACATTGTCTTCCCTAGAACCTCTTCCTTTCATGTATTTTGTCTTTGATGCGTTGATGGCAAGTCCAATCCGCCTAGCTTCAGCCTTCAGTCGGATGTACGTTTCCGCCATCGTCTCAAAGTTCCGTGCCATGATGTCAATGTCATCGGCGTCGCCAAGAAGCTGGATGGACTTCCTGAAGATCGTGCCACTCGTGTTCCCAGCTCTTCTGATCACACCTTCTAACGCGATGTTGAATAGCAGACACGAAAGTATATCACCTTGCCGTAATCCCCTCCGAGATTCAAAGGGACTCGAGAGTGTCCCCGATACTCGAACAACGCACGGAAATCCGTACTCGTGCATAATCTGCCATAGCTGATCCGATTGTGTCGTATGCGGATTTGAAATCGATGAACAAATGATGTGTGGGCAGTTTGTATTCGTGGCATTTCTGCAGAACCTGCCGAATCGTAAAAATTTGGTCCGTGGTAGCGCGGGCACCCATGAATCCCACCTGGTATTGCCCCACAAACTCTCTTGCAAATGATGACAGGCGGCAGCATAGAATTTCAATCCCAAGCCCCTCTATATTACTGATCCTTAGAGCACTTTCCAAAGTGAATCCAGATTTAATTCATCCTTCCCACTAACAGAAAAACGTCCAGCAGAGGTATACTCGGTCTCTGGTAATAACGGATGTTGCAGTAGATGACCGTAAGGACGTTATTGATCTTTAAAGTACTGATACACCGGAGCTTACACACCGAAAATGGATTGCCAACTAGTTGTGGAAAATGATTTATAAACTAAATACGTCAACCATCGTACTCAGATTCACGTAGTAGATCAACCGTGAAAAATCATTGCTCAAATTACGCCATGCTTGTCACCAAATCATCATTGAGCAGTCATTCAACGGGCCTCACCGGAGACAGACGGGACGTAAACAAACACGCTTGTTGATCATTCAAGCAGAAGTTATTTAGGCGTACAATTAAGCACTATTTCGTCACATAATTACCTCGTCTGATGACGGTGGGTGAGACGGGCGGGCAATTCAATTGGCTATTTATACACAAACAACATTATTTCAAATCTTTCCGTCATGTCAGCCAGTCGGTGGTCAACCATTCTACGCGTGTCTACACTGTTAATGCCAGCCAATTACCCCCCGAGATCACCGAGACAAGGTGTCTGGCTCCACACCGAATTAGTTTGTTGATTCCGGCAAATTCAGTACTAAATAGTTAGGCTTCTCAACGCTCTCTATGATCTTTGTTTGTAATGTGAACAGCACTTTTCGGATTAATTGTATCGTAGGTATATACTAAGTGACTACGACGCAGCACGCTAAGTGTACAAAGGAAAAGCGCAGAATGCAGTTTCAACGGACAGTTCAAAGTCGTTCACGTTGGCACTGCCGTGTGAGCTTAATCGTCGTCGGTTAATAATTAGGCTGCAACTATGTTGAGCAGGTATGAGCATTACATATTAACTTGCTACTGCTGAGTGCTGAGTACATGCACCGTACCTCGGCCGGAGGGTATGTTTTCAAATGAAATGGAGAGTTGTACGTCGTAGTCCACTTATGAGCATGAACGATCAACGCTGAAGTGGCAAGTTGAGAAACGATAAAGAACTAGTTTTCGGATGTTGTCGATCGTCCAAAGGTGAAATTTGAGCTTGAGGGAAGGCAACACATTTCGAAAACCGCTGCTGACGATCCATCAATGGAATGACTTGTTCATGACTAATCCTACACATCATGATCAAATGAGAGCAAAACCGACCTACCGAGATGGAAAACCCGGAAAGTGTAACGCGACGTAGACGACTCACCCTGGCTCTCGAATACCGGTCATAGCTGACTGGCGAGTGCTGTGGCTGGCAATTGCACACCCCACAGAGGTCTATAATTAAAACTGGCCCCCGGGTTTCGCCACCCATGGTAACCAGTTCGAAAATGTTGCCTCTTGTGGTTGCTAATTTTCTCGGTTTTCATTGATAGCGCCATCCTGGTGCCCCACTCACCGACATCGGCTACCGATTCATGTTACCCTAGAAGGGAAAAAAATCAACCATTTCCTGTGTTTGGGGCAGTTACAATGTATGTCTTGGAGGCTGCAGTGTTACGAAATTGAATTTCAGTGGTAATTCTACCGTAACTTATCGAATCGCACTCGTCGTTGTCGCCGTCGCCGGTCGGCAGTCGGTTGTAAATTATGTCTTGTTAATTCGCTCGATATTTCCAGCGGGCACCACCTCAGAGGCCAACAATAAAAACCGAAGCCATGCGATAAGATTACCGCGAACGAACTCGCATCCCTCCACATGGGGTGCGCATCCGTCAGTAGTCAAGCTAACTTTTTCCTTAACTTTTCTTCTTATTTTTCCGTCTATTTTTCAGTTCGATGCCTACACACGGTCCCTCCAGATTGACCCCTGTGGGGCCAACTTTCGGCTGGTGACGGACGGACAGCTCCCGTTGCGACAGTGTTTCCACCCAGAAGGAAGTGCCAAAGATATTCAGCTACCCGCGTACTACTGGCGATTCAGCGACCTGCGGAAGGAGTACGTCCGCTTCAAGGCTGGCGATTTGGCCCGGGCCCTGGTGCCGGTATCCGATGTCACCAAGCTGCACACGATGCCGCGGTTGCCGACCGTGCTCGGTTCCGTGGCCGAAATTATGCAAGGTGAGTTAGTCGTTTGCTGGTTTTTAATTGAGGGGCTTAGATGGGGTTTATCAGTTTGGGAATCCACTGTGGGCTGATTTGACTGATGTTAAATTTGAAATTTTCGCTTCACAGCGCTCAAACGGTTTCACATTGGGTTCTGATAAGGCTACCAACATTTGAAGTTATTTAGTACGAAATTGGCTTGGCACAAACCATTTGAAGTTTATATGGAAAATACTGTTCAGCAGGCAACATTGGATTTAAGGCGCGTGGATTAGAGCATAAAAATCATGGCTACTATGTCACACTGCACAGTGGTACAGAATGCAGATTTAGCTGGAATGATATGTTTTGAGCCTGAAATTGAAACTTTAGACTAAAAGTCTCTTCTACAAAGTTGTTCCTTATAGTTAGGCCCTCATTTTTATGACAATGAATTCTAGGGTGGTTCCTATTATCATTAAAATCAAAAATCTAACTTTTTTGTTTGAATAAATTAAGGTATACATTTTTCGGCAAAGTTATAGCTGAGCTAATTTCAAGCAACTTTGTTGAAAATAACTTTTTTGTATCTCTTAAATTGGCCGATTTAGAGCTATTTTCTTGAATTGAGTTAGGGTGGCTCTTAAAAAAACAGTTTTTTTGCTCTATTTTTCTTATTTCGAATTTCTCAGCAAAGGTGTCTTGAGATAACTTTTAGATATTAAAAAGGCGCAAATTTTTGCTGCACAAAGCTTGTCAATACCTTTCGCCGATCAAGAGTTATTGACGTTTGTATACTAAAAATATGCATTTTTCAAATGGTAATATCTCTGGTTGGGGCAAACAAAAAAAAAGTTTTTTTGCAGCATTTGAAAGGGCGTATGTTATTCTCAATAATATGAAAAAAATTGAGGTATGTTATTTTTTAAACTCGTATAAAATCAATTTGAATTTATTCATATTTTTTACTTTATTTGAGTATATCTTTTTTATTAGAAGAGACACAGGCAACGAATTCAGCTATAAAACATTCGTCTTTAAGAGTTTTAAAAGTCTCTAAAAGATAACTTTCATGAGAATTTTCAAATAAAAAAGTTATTGCTAAAAAACTATTTTTTCCAGGAACACCCTAAGTCAACTCCGAAAAATTACTCTAAAATGAGAACGTTAAGAGATAGAAAAAAAAATTTCTTCGACAAAGTTGCTTGCAAGTGACTTAACTACAACTTTGTTCAACAACACATGTTTATATTTTGTAAAACAAAAAAGTTAGTTTTAAAAATTCCCTAATTTGAGGACCACCCTGACGTCTGCAAACACCAAAAGAAGGGAATTTTTAAGAACAAAAACTTCTTCGAAGACACTAAATGTCCAAATATTGAAACAAATGTACTACCTCATTTTATATAAATTTGTCATTAGAGTGGTCCTATGAAATCCATCTTTTGCCAATAACTTTTTTATTTGAAATTTATCATGAAAGTCATCTTCTTTTAAAACTCTTTAGGACGAATGTTTTATTGCTGAATTTGTTGCCTGTATCTCTTCTAATAAAAAAGATATACTCAAATAAAGTAAAAAATATGAATTAATTCAAATTGATTTTATACGAGTTTAAAAAATAACATACCTCCAATTTTTTCATATTATTGAGAATAACATACGCTCTTTCAAATGCTGCAAATAAACTTTTTTTTGTTTGCCCCAACCAGAGATATTAACATTTGAAAAGTGTATATTTTTAGTATAAAAACGTCAATAACTCTTGATCGACGAAAGATATTGACAAGCTTTGTGAAGCAAAAATTTGCGCCTTTTTAATATCTAAAAGTAATCTGAAGACACATTTGCTGAGAAATTCGAAATAAGAAAAATAGAGCAAAAAACTGTTTTTTTAAGAGCCACCCTAACTCAATTCAAGAAAATAGCTCTAAATCGGCCAATTTAAGATATACAAAAAAGTTATTTTCAACAAAGCTGCTTGAAATTAGCTTAGCTATAACTTTGCCGAAGAATGTATACCTTAATTTATTCAAACAAAAAAGTTAGATTTTTGATTTTAATGATAATAGGAACCACCCTAGAATTCATTGTCATAAAAATGAGGGCCTAACTATAAGGAACAACTTTGTAGAAGAGACTTTTAGTCTAAAGTTTCAATTTCAGGCTCAAAACATATCATTCCAGCTAAATCTGCATTCTGGACCACTGTGCACTGTAGAATACAGTGTTACCAAAAAACAACTGCTTGATCATGCCATGGTTGAAAAACGATCTTCTGCAAAGTTGTAGCGGACAATATTTCTCATAAGAATAGCTATAGAACAGTGCAATATGGAATAATGCTAGAAGACAATGAACAAAAGGTTATCCCATTGTAATTTCCATATAAACTTCAAATGGTTTGTGCCATGTCAGTTTTTTTTCAAATTTTGGGAGGCACCTAATCAGGGGCTGATTTGAAACTGTTTGAGCACTGTGGAGCGAAAATCTCAAATTTTGCATCCGTCTACTTTGCATATACGCCGCAGTGCACAGTCGTCTCAAAGTCATACTTAGGAAGGCTAAAATGTTTGTGCTTATACCGTCAGTTTTAGGTAATTACATTTTTTTAGCCATTCTTAGTAAGTTCTGTTATTTTTTAAAATTATTTTCGATAAACCGTTAAAAGTAGTAGAACAATTTATTTGAAGCAATTTTGCTCAAGAAACCCATTTTCTATCTCTAATGGTTCTTGTGTTAGGGGTAGACGGGGCAAGATGGCCATCCTAAGATTGCCATCATTTTTATTTGTAATAAATTCAATTAATACATTGAAACATTGCCTACCCTAGATTTTTCTTTCATGACTGTTCTAACACCTACGGATTAAATACTGGAACGTGCGAAAATTGGTGGACAAAAAAATCGTTTCTTTCAGCCAAATGTCATATCACAAAAATCTTCTTATTTTTCTTTTGGTAGTTCAATTCATATATTCTTTTACGGGGTGGCTTTCTCAGTCTTTTAGTAGAAACGATTAATTTTTTACGTTCCGTAAAAAATGAATCGTTTCTACTAAAGAACGGGTAAAGCCACCCCATAAAAGAATTACAATCAACCAGTCGAAACCACCATTAGCATTATCAATTCATATATTTTAAGGAAAAAATGTTCGTTTATTCTTTTGGTTTGCCAAATCCGAACTGCCGTTCCGTCCGCTTAACCCCTTCCAGTAAATTTTGCACAGTGGTCTAATCGACCTTATTCGCCGCCGAACGCCAGTTAGATTTAAACTGCTGCTCGTTTTCCATGGATTTATTAGTTTTTTTTTAAGATTCCGTTGTTGGAAGGGTTGTGGTCTTTGGTTAACACAACCACGTTGTTCGCATCGTACCACTCGATTGCTTTTTTCCCATAGTGGCAGCTCGCCAAGTCCGGCCAGAACAGCACAGGTCTATTATGTTGCTTTAGGAATGGTAGCAGCCGCTTTTCCAGGCACTCCTGGACGTAGATCTCTTGACTGATGGTTCCCGTAGTAATGAAAATGCCGCTTTTTAGACCACACGTGCATATGGCCTGCCAGACGAGATGTTTTTTTCTGGAACTTCGATAGTTTGATGGTTTTGAAAATTTCAGCCACCTTCCCTTTTCCTGATGCGGTATAAAACTCACATAAGTTTCATCGTCCATGACGACACAGTCGAACTATGTAATCTCGGTTCACCACCTTCACCTTCTTAAACGTCGACAACCCGGCTCGTTTCTTGGCCCGCTGCACAGTAGTATGGAGAGGTTGGGATTCCGCTTATATTTCACCGCCACCTTCTTCGTCGTCGTTGCCACGTCCGGATTCTTGCAGGCTTCCTGGTGGTCGACAGACGCTAACCGAACACTTTTAAAACGTTTGTTACGATCGATTTGGCCACATCCAGCAATTTTCCCAACTTGGCGTGTGAGAACGTCGGATTCTCTTGCTGCGCGAGCAAAATTTTGACACGCTGCTGCTCTTGCTTGGACTTCATTTTGAAAACTGGAGAGCAAACGATGAAAACTCATCATAGCAACCATTGTATATACACTCAACTTCCAAATGCAGCATTTCAGTTTTTATGTATTTTTAACAGAAATACACCAATTTGAAGTTGACCAATTTTTGCGCATTCCAGACTTTAATACAATTCAATGTATTCAGGACTGGTAGCGAGTCTCTTTTTAGTGACTTGGTCACTTTTTTCAAGCTAGTCACTATAAAGTCTCCTTTTTTAAGGCCAAGTCACTAAAGTCACTTTTTCTTGTAATCAGTCACTATTTTCAACTTTTTTAGTGTGAATTTATTTCAAGATTGATCATTCTTCTGTACGACTATCTAATCGATGCCTACATGTTGTTCTAGTTTTCGAATAATTCGAAAATGTGTTGCTTCGACAGAGCTTTTGGACGTTTAATCGTCTTTCTTTATTTACAGCAGTGTTGGCAAAATCAGAAATCAATTGATATGTTTCCGCTCTCATGCGCTCGCGTGATATTGGAACAAAATATATTGATATTGATTTTACAAGCTCCTTTGATATTGCGAGACTATTCACAACGTGCAAAAATCAAGCTAAGAGTTGACTCGACACAAAAATGATTCCATTGCACATCGTTTTCTTAGAAAGAGAAAGCATAGCTTGCTATCACTTTTTAATCTTCACCGATGGCAGACGCGAAGGGACTGCTGCAAGCCGTTATGGAAGTTTCGGTTGCATTCGGGTGTGATTTGCAATTGGTGAGTTTTGTTAGCTTGATATTCCGAGCTGCGATATCACAGCTTGCAGACTTAAATTTCAGATCCTGAATTAAGAAAAAAATAGCCATATCCCACAACAAGTTTCCGATTATTCCAAAATCTGGGGCATGAGACAGGGTTAATATCCCTTACATTGGTCCTATATATAAATTTCGAAGGGAAACATGTTTTGACAATGTTTCAATAGCAACCAAGAATATCCATTTGTTTTGTCCAGATGACGAATTATTATTATTATTTTTTAAATTACTTTATTTGTACAGGC